ACAGCTTGAGGCTCTGTCTCAAAAAAAAAAAAAAAGTCTCCCCCTCTTCTTCCTGCTCCCCCCAACTTTGGTTTATTAGCACAGAATAGGGAACTGATCCTGTCTGAGTGTACCCTAAGAGTAAGAGGTTCAGAACCTGGGCTCTTCTCTTTTGTGGCCATTGTGATAGCAGTAGCGGCCAAAATGAAGTCCCATCCCTTTGTAACTTCCCGACTCCCTCTTTCCAAAGAGCTGAGAGACAACGTTTGATCCATGCCCATCAGACAGGTTGTGTGAAGACACTGGAAAGGTCAGCAGATTGGCAAAGGAGTCTGGGTTTACAGGAAGGAATGTGTCATCTGAAAGGGTACAGCCGGAAGAGGCTAATGGCCCCACTGTCCCTGAGGGCATTCGCCACAGCAGGTGGTTATCGGTCACGGGGCTAACAGTAGACAAAGACTGCAAAAGAGCCTTGAATGAAAAGGCAAATCTTGCCAAGGAGGAAAGGAAATGGGCAAATACAAGAAAGAAAGAATGGAGAAGACGTGGGAATAACCTTGTTTATGTATGACTTACTTTCTTCTGTCTCTTTTTTGCTGTAGTTGTCATTGTTGTTTGGCGGGTTCAGACTGCCAGCTCTGTTGTATGTGGCTGGTGCCCTAGCCACTGAGCTACAGGCGCCGGGCCATGTATAACTTTCATTAAAAAATGATAAAATGGGAAAAAAGAAAGAACCAGGGGTAGCATCTTCCCAGAGAACCGCTTCAAAAGTCACTAGCCAGGTGGGCTCTCTGCTGATTTTTTTGAGACTGAGTTTGACTCCATCACCCGTGGTAGAGTAACGTGGCATCATAGCTCACAGCAACCTCAGACTCTTGGGTTCAAGTGATCCTCCTGCCTCAGCCTCCCAAGTAGCTGGGACACAGGCACCTGCCACAACGCCCGGCTATTTTTCTCTTGTTGTTGTTGTAGTTGTCATTGTTCTTAGGCAGGCCCAGGCTGGATTAGAACCTGCCTGCTCCGGTGTATGTAGCTGGTGCCCTAGCTGCTGAGCTATGGGTGCCAAGCCAGTGGACCTAATTTTCATAGACTAGACATATACCACATGTACATATCAGTACAGCAGGCCTGGTGCCTCATGTGGACGACCCCCAGGTGTTGACCCCTGGGTGGTCACCTTAGCGAGGTTTCACTGTCTCTGTCTTTCTGTGACTGGTTCATCTCACTTGGCGTAATGCCCTCCAGTTTCATGTCTTTTGTTTAGCATGCATCAGAATTTCCTTCCTTCTTAAGGTTGACTGGTGTTTCACTGTGTGTGTGTGCCACCTCTGGTTTACCCATTCATCTGATGTGCACAGGAGGGCTGCTTCTACCTTCTGGCTTCCAGGGATAATGCTGCTAGGAACATGGGTATACAAGGACCTATTCAAGATTCTGTTTTCAGGCCAGGTGTGGTGGTTCATGCCTATAATCCCAGCACTCTGGGAGGCCGAGATTCGGGGGGGGGAACTACTTCAGCTCAGGGGTTCGAGACCAGCTTGAGTCTTTACTAAAAACAGAAGTATTACTTGGGTGTCATGGTGGGTGCCTGTAATTCTAGCTATTTGGGCAGCTGAGGCAGAAGAATCGCCTAAGCCCAGAAGGCTGAGGTTCCTGCGAGCTATGAGGCCACAGTACTGCAGCCTAGGGGAGGAGAGAGATTCATGTCTCAAAAAAAAAAAAAAAAAAAAAAGATCCTGCTTTCAATTTCTTTGGGGGTTTATATGTGGAAGTGGCTCCAGCAATTTAAAAATCATTGACTGCCCTTAAAAGAGGGAAGAAAGGGCTCGGCACCTATAGCTCAACCGGCTAAGGCGCCAGCCACGTACACCTAAGGTGGCGGGTT